GTACTCGTAAAAGCTGGCCGATACTCTTAACCAATACCGCTTTTGTCCCCTCCTGTGCTGCGCTGCAGCACAAAGGGTAAACAACAATCCATACCAGGCGGTGGCACTAGTGCACTGACAAGTTATTTCCGACCGCACCCCCGAATAACAGAGGAAGAACGATGACGGTAGAAGAAGAAGTAACATGTCTGCAGTTTGGAGATATTTTAAGATCAGCACGGAGGACACCACACAAGCAGACTGTCTGCTGTGCTCTGCTAAACTGTTGAGGGGAGGAGCGAAAGTTGGATGTTTTAACACCAGCAATTTGATTAAACATTTGAGGACAAGACATGACAAAGAATTCAAAGAGTTTGCTGCTGCTAGCAGTAGCCTTCATGAACATCACTATATGTAGCAGTTGTTGCAATAACTTCAATGCTGTTTTTTCTTTCTTGTAGAACAAACTAAGACATAAGCAGGGTATGGAAGGAAGTTTGTTGTAAAAGCATTTTATTTTTCACTCTGGTTCTTCTGAGATTTTGTTTTAGTTGTTCCATTTAAGTTTGAACTGCAATTTACTGCACTTTATTACTATTATTCATTTTTTAAAACAGTTTAAGACTGAAGCAGAGTAAACTTCTATAGATGTGCTGATAAAATTTACATTATAGTTTACATTTTAATTTAAATTTGGTAGTTGCATGTTGAGGAAAATGTATAAAAAATGACTTTTTTTAATATATGCAACAGCATTTGTTTTGCAGTATTTGTATCATTAATACATTCAGAGGGAGTGTGGCCTTATAAAAAAGAGCCATGTTTGAAATAAAATAAATGGTTTCAAAAGTTATGGTGTGATATATGTATACCAACTTATCTACTTGTCAGGGTTTGCACTACCTTTTTATTGTCAAACATAATATTTACCTATCAGTTTTTCTATGATAATTGCATTTCATTTTCATTCTGTTTAATATTCAACAAGTTGGACAGAAAATCCACATGAACCCCGCTACTTGGTATCGGTATCGGTGAGTACCTAAACTGAAGTACTCCTACTTGTACTCAGTCTTGAAAAAACTGGTATCGGGACACCCCTAGTTTTGAATGTCTGTCCTGTCGTTTGAAATGTGTTACTGAACTCAATAATAAACTTCCTCTTCGGCTGGCCGAAAAAGCGATGTCTCCTCATCTTTTTTCATCTTGAAAGCAGAGATCTCCGAGCCCCACCAGTAGGAAGTTCCAGTTGTTCCACTAAGTCACTCGAGATTAGGTTTTGTTCAGCACCAGAGTCCACATAAGCCGAAATCGGTAGTTTGGTTTGTCCACAAATTACCGTAGCAGGAAGAAAAAACAGTTAGGGGAGAAATGGTCCTGTCTCGTCAGCTTCCCCTGGTTTACTGACGAGACGACCCATTTCCCCGCAGCGGGCAGGTGGCAACGAAATGTCCCTTGTTGCCACAGTAAATGCATAATTTAGCTGCGAATCGTCTTTGTCTTTCTTCAGGAGACAAACGTGTGCGTCCAATGTGCATGGGTTCGACGGGACTGATAGCAGCTGTAGTGGGAGGAGGCGGAGACTCACCACTGATGGGGAAAACGGAAACCCGCTGATTCTGGGAGGTGTAGTTCTTCTCTCTTTCGCTCTTTTAATCTGTTATCAATTCGTATGGACAAGGTGATTAATGTCCAGGCTTGCGGGTTCATCCCGGGAAGCCAATTGATCTTTTAGTTGCTCTGATAAAGAATTTACATAAATACCTTTCAAAGCAAGCTCTTCCCAACCAGCCTCCTCGGCAATAATCCAAAAATCCACGGAGTGTTCAGCTGCGGACTTACTTCCTCGTCACAGGTTGATTAGCCGCTTCGCTGCCTCCTCCTGCTGGAGGGGATGGTCAAACACACGTTGAAACTCTTGGCTGAACAGCTAGGACGTGAGAGTGTCTGAGGAATGAGCGGACAACAAAGCTTGGGCCCATCTGAGGGCTTTTCCCTTCAAAGCAGAAACAATATAGGTTACTCGGGCAGAATGAGTAGGAAAAAATGAAGGAGAACGAGCAAAAGCTAACCGGCATTGAAGCAAAAAAAAAAACCCACACTGATTTATGTCCCCATCAAAAAACTCAGAAGGTCGGATGTCTGGTTCTCTAGTAGATATAGCAGGCGGAGGGGGCGTGGCAGCTGGGGGAACGACAGGATTAATAGGAAAAAAGGAGTTTAATTTATCATCGAGGGCAGCGATACATTGTGTGATTTGGCCTAATAGAGTGCTGGTTTCTTGTTGCCCTGCATATAACTGGTTTAGTTTTTGGTCATGATCAATAATTTTGGATTCGGGTTGATTAGTGGCTCCAAGAGTCTGATTATCAGTAGTATTGCTCACGGACATATGGCTCGGCTGAAGCATTCTATCAGGTTTTCAAGAGGTCGACATGAGCAAGTACTATTGACAAACAGAGACTGAGACGAGGTATACAAAAAGTAAGTGATTTTATTTACACAGGTGCCGGGAGCTGGGGACAGGACCTGAAACAGAGTTTTTGCAGAGGTGAGAAATAGGCAGATTCTCCAGTATTGGTTTTTAGCAGGCAAGTAGTTGAAGAGGTGGTTTACGGGTTGGAAAAGGAGATGAGACTTGGAGGAGGAGGTCCAACAGGTGAGGTTCCACAGGTGAGTATTTACAGGTGCAGATTTATTTACAGTGTTACGTGGGAGGCAGCGCATGAGATCCTGGTGAGTTGGCTCGGGTTCCAAGGCAGGAGGTAAACGTGCTGGAGGTTGCTTCTTAAAACAGGTAGGTAACAGGTACACAGGTAAGATAATTTTGCATGAGGATAACAGGTAGCAGGCTGAGCTCATACCAAACAGAGACGATGCTTCAGCAATGAGATGAACTCCAGCACTGCCTTAAAAAGCCTGGAGATGATGAGCCAAACTCATTGCAGGTGTGGTTGACTAGCGCAGTGCCCAGTCCGGGAGGCAGGGTGCGAGAACACCAAAATGCCTCACCAAATCCCGGTGTTAAAAAGAAAACGGACAGAAAAACGGCAGGGTCTGGCAGTGCCGTCCCCCTCCGCCTCTCATTGGCCCTCGACGGGCAAAAGCACAGCTGAAAGTCCTTGTGAGTGACGCCAAAATTTAAATATGTTAGTCCTTGTTTTAGTGTTTTTCATTGCATGTCTAGTATTGACCCAGTGATTTATCATGATTCCTAATGTAAGTTTTTGTTTTGTAATTGATCAAGATTTTTCAGTAATGTTCAATGATAAAGTGATGCTTTAGTTCTAACAAATAAGCAGGTACCAAAAAAAACATTTAACACTTTACTGAATAATATTTACCCAAATTCTTTTACAAATATTATTTTAAATAGGAAAATGTTTTATACATGACAAGACAGGATTCAAATTTTATAGCCTCAAGGGAAAAATCCCCTGTATTGTCCTTGAAGATGTGGAAAACAGTCCTGAATTGTCTACACTCAGCACCCTGCTCTGACCAGTAGTGCAAAACCACAAACTGTCTGTATGCTTAGTGTGGAACTGCCTGTTGTCTTCACCATCAGCTGGAAGGTCAGCCATAGATCCTCCTGGCAAGAAACAAGACTCCTGCATGCAGAATAAATGCCTTGATGTGTGGAAGGTAGGCTTGAAATGCAGATGTCCAAGTGCACAATGTCCTCTTCTGAGTTTCTCAGGAGCTCAACCCATTCTGCTGCATCTCCCACGTGACCTGCATGATGCTTCAGCACACAGCTTCCCTGTTTGTATGCTAGTAGAAGATGCTCTGGTTGGAGCCCATTGACTGTCAAAAACTCTAGCTGCATAACATAAAGATAAAATGTCACACTGTGCAAAAAAACGAGCTGAAAAATACTAATACACAGGCTTGTCATGTTGCTGAGATCATAAACTTTATCTAACATTAAGCAATGCTAATATGCAGCTACGGTGTTATGATAGCTTGATAGCTATTTATAACTTATAAAAAGAGTGCAACATAATTTACATGTAATGTTATGACAAAATACATAAAGACTTGAGAAGCACTTGTGTAGATAAAGTATAGGCAAGGCATGATGGTTAAAGGGGCAATATCATGTAAAATCAACTTTTTTGAGTTTTATATCATGTTATAATGTTATACTCTCATAAAAACATGCCCAAAGCCTTGCTCTGACTCATTCATGCATGTTTGAGAAATCCTGCAGTGTTTTTAGGCAGCCATGCTGAGGAGCAAAACGACAGGTGGGGACCAGAAACGCCTTTTGGTACCAGAAACACCCCTGGGATGTGTCTTTAAGCCAAGCTTCCTCATGGCAGTGTGCACCCCTCCCTCCACCCCACACACCCCGACAATGACTCCTGCCAGCTCTCCGGTGAAAGTGAAACTTAAACTTTCTGCGGGGCTCCTAACATTACTTCTCACTCATTGAAGCTCTTTTCAGATTAAAAATACATTTGAGGAAATGTATTTTCAGATGCCAAGTAAACTGTATCATAGCAGCCCCCCCACCACCACCACCACCCCAAATGGGCAAGACAGAAGCGGAAGACAGAGGCCAATTTCAAGGTGTTTAGAAGACGAAGTGACGAGAAGATACGTTTATTTTCTATTTAAATATAAAAGCAGCATTTTAATAACAGTTAAAGGTGACATAAATCCTTTATTATGGTACAGTATTTAAATGTATGCCTGAGAAACACAATATTTCCCCTTTAAAAATACATTGTTGATGGTTTGTTCTTACCTGTGACTGCAGCATAGCTCTCAGCTCAGTGCTGTGGCTCACCCCTGGCTCACCCCACACGCATCCTGTTTACAAGTATGCACGCTCACAAATCAGAGCTGTGCTGTGTGGGAGGAACCTAGGAAGGTGGGCTGAAGATTAACAGAGAACAGGGGGCAGGGACCTGAATAAGCTTGCATGACAATTTTCTCTAGAACAAAATTAAACACTTTTATAGCAATATTGAATCTGTTATTACCTATTTTGTTTCAAAATTATAGTTCTGCTATTACATTTTATTCATTAAATATTTCTTGCAGTTTTTTTCTGGTTGAAATAATATGATGAAACACTTTGGAGCAAATATACACAGTATCAGTCCAAAACTGGAGGCCAGGATGGCAAATATCTCCACAGCCACAGTAAATTTTCCAGGAGAGCTGACATATGCTGGGATGAAGGTGATCCACACTGCACAGAATATCAGCATGCTGAAGGTTATCAGCTTGGCTTCATTAAAATTATCAGGTAGTTTCCGAGCTAGAACAGCTAACACAAAGCAAAAAACAGCCAGCAGGCCAATGTAGCCGAGCACAGCCCAGAAGCCAACAGCAGAGCCTAATGCACATTCCAGGATGATCTTCTCCTTGTATGTGCTCAGGTTTTTCATTGGGAAAGGGGGGCTGAGAACCAACCAAACAGTACAAATTAAAACTTGAAAAAATGTAAGGAACACCACAGTCATTCTTTGTTGTGGAGGTCCAAACCATTTCATGGCATTACTACCTGGAAGTGTAGCTTTAAAGGCCATTAAAACCACTATAGTTTTGCCAAGAACACAGGAGATACAGAGAACAAAGATGATACCAAATGTCGTGTGTCTTAGCACACAGGACCACTCAGAGGGAGCTCCAATGAAAGTTAATGAACATAAGAAACACAGAGTCAGAGAGAAGAGCAGCAGGAAGCTCAGCTCAGAGTTGTTGGCTTTAACAATTGGTGTAGTTCTGTGACAAAAGAAAATAGCTGCTGTTATGATGGCCAGACAGGCTCCAAAAATAGAGAATGCAGCCAGGATGATTGCTAGGACTTCATCAAATGACAGAAACTCCACAGGTTTGGGTAAACAAGCATCTCTTTCTGCATTAGGCCAATATTCTGCAGGACATTGGAAGCAATCAGGAGAATCTAAAACATAAAAAGGTTGCTATAGCATTGAAAAAAGTAATGATTGATGTACGCATGAATGAAAACATTTGAAAATACCTGTCATGTTACTAATCTCTCCTTCAGGACATGGTATACAATCATAACAGCAGATGGGTTTTCCTTTCTGCAACACTTTACGAGATCCTGGAGGACAACTTTCAGAACACACTGACACTGGTACCTGTCACAACAAAATGGTCACAGTTTTTGGTTTTATAAAGCAGCTTGGACTCAGCAGTTCTCAAACTATTTATTGTAGTCATTAGGTCTATTACTTGTGTGACACCTTCTACCCAAGATATGTTCCTGTTGATTTGAAACTCCTGGCCTTTAGGCAGTGATGCATCATAATATCCTACTGTAACCAGCTCAGTAACTGCACTTTCACTCTTTTGCCAGTTGACCAGCTCATAAAAAGCCACAGGATCTCCATTAGCATCAAATGACACATGGTAACCATTGCGTGAAAAATTTACTTTTTTCAATGCACTAAAAATCTGTAAAATACGCATATACAAAAAAAGAAAAAAGATTAAACTTCTTATGTTTCTAGCATTCAAAAATAATGACTGGAATAATTGGCTAACAAAAAATATGAAAAAGTCATTGTTGACCTGTTTGGGCTTCAGTTTTATTTTTCTGTCACACTGAATGATGAGATTATTTTCCTCACACATTGCATTGTGAATGGCATAAGCTACTGCATAAACAGCCTTGTACACCATGTTAGAAACTCTTAGCTGAGATGTGTCAGTGTACGGATTTATCAGTGTTGTAATGTCTTCATTTCCATCACACACTCTCTTGTCTGAATCAGCATCTGCATACACATAAAGACATACACAGTATTTCTGTATGTATACAATAGTATTAATAATGAATTTTCATTTTTAAAAATTACACACTGCAACAGGTATTACTTGCCCAATATGTTTCATTGGTACTAACAATGAAGAAGTCCCTTACTAGCTGTCAGTGTGCAGTTGAATGCTTCCTCCCAGAACTTAGTAAGCATTGAGGAGGCAGCTACTTCAGAGGGAGAGAGATCCAACAGGAAGTCTCTCAGACCTGGAATAACAGATTTTTGAATAGCTACTCCAATGGCTCCTGCACAGAAACCATAACTCATGAAGAGTTTCTCAGCTATCCAGCCCTCACTTCCTATCCACTGACGAGGTGGAGGAGGATCCAGAGCCAGCTCCTCTAAAAGTGCTTTCATTTCTCCAGAAGCTAAAAATGCCACAATGACCAGTGCTGTTGACCTGCAGCAATGATAAAATGCATTTAATAATCTTATCTATACCACATTAGAAATGTTTCCTGTGTTACTTATGTCCAAATAAGCATATACATTGATGATGCAGAAATTAAGAAACTAACATTCAGTTTTGTTTTCTACTGAAGTGACAAAAAATTATAT